TGGCAAAAAGAGAGCCCACATGGGAATCTGGATCAGGCACCCTTCATCTGCGTCTCCCAACTCCAGAACTCTGAGAAGTGAAGGTCTGGAGTCTTATTTACCTAGTCTATAGCATTCGGTATGGCAGCCCAAGCTAACTGAGACAGTGCACAGAACGGCCTGGGAGCACAGTCACAAATTGGGGCAATGATGAACATCCACATTCAGAATTCAAAGAGAGTAACTTCCTCATGAGTGCCACTTGACCACAGTGTCCTTATCAAGAGTTCAGGACAACATTGTGGATATCTGTAGAGTTCTGTCTTGGAGCCAGCAACCCTAACCCCAATTCTGGTTGTGATTTCCTCATGCCAAGAACAATCAGGTGTAGGGTAGAAGGTGAAATGACTGGGGGAGGGACCATCATATGGAGCAAGACAGCCAACTCCAAATTCTGGCTCACATTACCTCAGAAACCTACTATAGCTTGAGTCTGCCATATAATGATGAAGACCATTGGAAACAAAGATTTCCATCACCCACAGGGCTGTGATGGGCACTGAGTTAAGGCACATTTCCTCCCCTGGTGTGAGAGCAATGATGCTGGGAATGTAGGTCTCTCAGCTTGTTTCCCACCCTCAGGACCTTCCTTCCAGTTCCCCTACATCCCAGCCTCATTTTCTGTCCCACACTTTTCCTTGTCAGAGCTCAAGGAGAAGTTCTGGGTCCCTGGGAAGAACACTCACATGAGTGGAGTCTTAGGAAGGTGCTGGTGGACTAGGATCTTGAAGCACTGCCAGTGCCCGAAGATTCTGTAGACGCTCTGAGGTCCACTGGAGTCATCTGGTGGCACCGCAGCTGGTATACCCTCCCCGTACACTCCCTGTGGCCATTGGTGGGCATTCATTGGGAAGACAATGGGGGTCACTTGGGCAAATGGTGGTGTTGCTGGAGTGTGAAGGCTCAAAGTCCATCAGCTCCCATAGTTCTGGGTCCCCCCACTGGCTGAGGCAGGCACAGTTGTCCTCCAGGCAGAAGCTGCTATGAGGAATGGAGCAGGATGATCCACACCACCTCAGAAGGCCCCTGGGGCCCTCCAATTGAGGAGCACCTGAGTGAGGGCAACCTTCTGAATGTGGCTCTCCTAGCCTCCATCTGGCCCATGTTGATCAAAGTTGAATAGCCTAGACACACACACAGCAGGGACACTGCTCCTGCTGCCATTGATATTTCAGGGTAAGGAGACTGCACCAGTGGGTTACCCTGGGAGATTGGTGCAGTCACAGGAGGCAACATGGGCAGCACCCAGATTGGCTGGTGTGTTGGCACAGGAGCAGAGGGAAGACAGGGCAGGTCTCTGAGGGGAGACATAGGGGAGCCAGGTTCTGCCTGGTGTCAGCATTCAAGATGTTGTGGAGCAAAGTAAGGGCAAGTGGCTGTAGGAGTGAGGCCCCCAGCCTTTGTCACTGGGCATCTGAGGAGGAATGGCAACAGCTCAGGGTCTCGTGGGCAGGAAATCGTGGTTTGCAACTTTCTCTGAGTAAAATTTAGGCTTCCTTCCTCCAATCAAAAGTATCACTCAGAGAAATCTTGATCCCAGTACTCAAACATTCCCTGAACATGGTCTATAGTGACACCTCAGTTTTCCCTGACTTAGAGGCCCCTTGGCATCCTTTGCTGACAATGGGTCAGCGTCCAAGGCATCTCACTGGAAACTGACTCTGCAGAGTGGCACCATGCCTCTCAGCATTCTCACCAACAGGAAGGAGACCTCCCTTCTCCAAGAAAGTTCCAGGCACTCCAAGGCCTATATGAAGGTGACAAGTTCATAATTTATGGGTCCATCACCTCCTCAGCCTTCCTTTTGCTGATTCTCCTTGGAAAACCCTGTTTCTTTCCTGGCCTTGCACAAGTAAACAAAAGCACCTGAGTGAAATGTCTCCCCAGCTAGAGCCTGAGGAACCCTGAAGGTCACCAGGAGCACATCCTGCCCATAGTGGGGGTACTTCTCCCAGCACTTCTAACCACAAACACCAGTGGGGACACATATTCTGGCACCTCAGTGTATCTGTAAAGAGGGTTTTTCCAAGAGAATTCTTGACATGGCCACAACTAGATTAGCACTTGAATATTTTGGCAGGAGGTGCAAAAGCCATGGTCACAGAACTGTTCTCAACTTGAAATGAATCAAGGCAGGGGACCTAAATCGTACGAGTAGAGATTGTATTTGTTTCACCCACCCAGATGCATGAGAAATGACAGTTTTAGTTAAGAATGTTCAACATAAAGTAGAAAGAATGTCATTCATTCTTAAATTTTGAACCACGGGAGATGCAGTGCTAAAACTGAACACCCAAGGGCCACACTTGCACATATCAAATAAATGGTGGGAAGAGTTGATAGGCACAGAGATAGTTCAAAAGTGTTGGGAAAACATACGGGGGGAATGGGGTTGATAGCTAAAAGACAAGAGATTTCTTTTTGAGCTGATGGAAGTACTCTATATTTTGTTGTAGTCGTGAAAGAAATGTTTATTGCCGACATGGTGGCAAAGTCTATGAAAACTAGATTTCTAATATTTGATGGGTGGTGTGAGTTATGTGAATGTCTTCCTAAAGTGATTTTGTAATGATCTGCAGCAAAAATAGTGAGATGTTAGCAGACAATGCCTCAGATGGTTGGCCAGGGTGCCACAGCCTGGCCAAGATCCCAGGAAACTGTCCTGGCCAATGCATAGAGATCAGGAGGAAGTTTATAAACTGAGTTTCTATAAGAGTGCATCTAAAAAAAGGGGACATACAAGAGCCCAGACCCAATGGTCACTGTCAGAAAGCACAGCTTTTCATTAATGGAGGGAGTGGGTCTTGGTGGTGTCAGTTGATGACTCCCTCGTGTGCTGTGACTTCTTCCCCTAGAAGTCAGGGCCAGTCCTCTCATCAAGCCATCTATTGAGGAAGACCGTGGCCATGCTGGGGTTTTGTCCATCCTCACTGTCCAGCATCATTTAGGGGAGGAGAAAGAAGCTGTCTAAACACATAATGTTTCCAGAATTACTTGTAGAAACCTGATTAATGGCACAGGGGCCTGAAGACTCCAAAGCAGTTCTGCATCCAAATGAGACAGGAGGGCTCAAAGTTGTCAAGAAATACTTGAGAAAACATTGTGTCCCTGTCTGTGAAAGCCATGGAACCTGTGTCCTATGAAGAACCATGGTGTTTGATTACACATGACAGCCCACAAACTACATCACGTCTGATCCCTTTTGTGCATGTGAGAACTCACCCCAGCTCTTATCTCATCAGGAGCACTAAACTGTAGCCTCCTTGTAATTAAACCATTCTCCTTTGCAAACTTCTCGGTTTTATAAACGGGCAAACCATGTTGTGTAGCCTCGGTTTCTTTTTCTCATTGGTTTGTAGGAGAACTTGATTACATTTGGGACAGCCACGAGGAACACAGGTCAGGCTGTGGTCAGGGTAGGGACGACACTAGGGAGGGTCAGAGCTGTGTCAGTGGTGGTTCTGCCTTGGGATGCAGTCAGAGCCTCCAGGCTGCTGGGTCCCCAGGGAGTTCATGGTCAGGACTGTAGAGGGGGTGGGAGGGTGGGAGGAAGGCCATGATCTCTCATCAGGCCACCTACACAGGAAGACCATGGCCATGCTGGGGATCAGTCCAACCACTCTGTCCATCATCATTCAGGAGATGAGAAAGAAGCTAAGAAAAAAGACAAAACAAATGTTTCCAGGCTTATTGCTAGAAACCTGGTTAATGGCACAGGGGACTGAAGGCTGAAAAGTAACTCTCCTTCCAAAGGAGACAGGAGGGCCCAAAGATCTCAAGAGGCATGTTATAAAAAAAATCATGCCCCTTTCTGTGATGGCCATGGCTGCCACAAATGCCTCATAGTCACTCGGAGCCTTTTGCTTCCATAGCAGGTCCTCCCCAGATGACTGCACTCCTTGCCTGGAGTGCAAGGAGTCCCTCCCCTAACCATGCTTAGGCAGAAATACTGGGGATATCTTCAAGGACACTGCATGCTTGAGCCCATCTTTTTAATTCAAATAAATTTGTTTCCCCATCTCCTTTTGCCAACAGTGGCTGTGCATCCCTTCATGATCTGTACCTCTTCCCATTCTGCTGCAGCAGGAGTCCTAATGAAGGCTCTTAGGGATGGGTAGAGTTTGTATATTCAGACTCTCATCTCAACTGGAGCAGGTCATGTTGGTTGCACTGAAAACTGGCAAACTGGGTAGGTCAACCTTAGGGTGGCCGGCACAGAGAGTGACCCAGAGCAGTGGTGAGCTACAGGAGCTGCTAGGTCTGTCAGATGAGTTCCAGGGCACTATTGGAAGTGGCTGGCTACTGCCCCTAGGAGAGCAACAGGAGAACGGCTGCCCTAGGAGAACACAGGAGAACGGCTGCCACTAGGAGCTGGGGGTTGCTGACATTCAATGTCAGGTACTAACACTACGGTCTGAGAGCCCCATGTCAGTCCTCAGATCTCAGAGCTCCAACACCAAGGAAGATGTGCTTTGCCTCTTTGTGATTCCTCTTCATGTCTGGCCCTCAGATAATTGGTAAGAGAGATGTTTAAGGGGCACAGATCATGAAGGGATGCCCAGAGAAGATTCCCTAAACCAAGAGAGGCCTTTTCAATGGTGTGATGATTAGGGTTTTCTCCTAGGATCAGAGGAAGAAACAGTCTAAATCTGCAAACAAGACCCAATAGATGGATGCTTGTGCTTCCTTCGTCCTGGCAACCCCAGTTGTCTCCTCTCAGTTCTCACTGCATGGACATGCACAGAAAATATGGCAGAGTCAGCAGCCACAGAAGATGTTTCCTACCAAACTGCCTTTATTATAACTGACAGTCCAACAGGGTACAGCTTCCCACCAAGGCGTGAACATCGTGACCCTCCCCTCTCAGTACCCTCCCTTCTGCCCCACACCTGCCCTCTTTCTACATTCCCTGTACCCTCCCACCCCCTTCACTTTCCTGAGAACCTGCAGGAACTGCCCTGTGTGGGGAAGAGGTCTTCACAAGCTGAAGACCTTTGGCCCTTCTGGTGTAGAATGAAGCAAAGGTGATTCTTGCCTGAGGGGCAGCCACCCCAGAGGCCACCGGCCAACACTTCTGTCCTCAGGGCCTCTTCTTCTTCTGGTTGCCAGATGACACACACTTTCTCTTCTGAGGCTGTGAGGTTCCACCTAGCTCCAGGTCCACACCTTGCCCTCCGATGACCTGGAGGGGAGGCCCCGTGCAGGGCATCTTTTCCACATTGCATGAGCGTCCAGTGAGAACACTCTTCATGGTCATGGCACCTGGAGGAGGGTGGGAGCTGAGGCGCCCCCTCTGGGGAGGTGCGGCCTGGAGTGGTTGGTCTCCTGAGCACAGGGTTTCTATTTGAGGGGCCTGGCTCTGGGACAGTCCCCAGGGCAGCAGGCGGTTCTGGGAGTTAAGGAGGAAATCCAGGCTTTGGAGGTCATCGTCCACACTGCAGCCATTGGCTGTCTTATGTGGCCGCCCAGAAGAAGTGGCTTTTCTGGGTCCCACTACGCCTTTGTTCCCCAGGTTTAAGGAGGAGGATCTGCAGTTATGGGGAGGATGGTTGGAGTGCATGTTCCCCAACGAGGATGACCAGTGACGGCCTTGGAGGACAGCAGAGTCCTTCGATCCCAGCAACTCTGGCTCCATGGCCCTGCGCCTCTTCATGACCTGGGAAGCCACCTCTGTGGACCAGTCCTCCATGCCGGCCCCTTGATCAGTGTGATGTTTCCGTTTCTCTGCACCTTGGTTGGCAGGTGTCTGGGAAGCTCTTGAGTCCTGTTGGGACATACCATGACCTTGAGGCCCCTGAAGAGCTGCTTCTTTACAAGCTGAAGGAGAATATGGGCACTGGCCAACTCTTCTACATGCATGAAATGGGCCACAGGGACTGGGACAATCATTTCTTTGGGAGGTGGGAAGTGGAGAGACAGACTGAGTCTCTGCTGGCCACCCTCCTGGGCTTCCTTTATTCTTGATGCCCTGAACCCATCCATGACTCTCCTGTCTCCTTCCTTTCCCTTCTACATCCTATGTCCTGTGAAGTCACTCAAGGAAACATGTATCATAGGCAGGATAGAGACAGATGACGTCCTGTGGGCCACATGACTAGGGTCCTGTGCCTTCCTCATCTACGTGCTATCCCTTGATCCTCTGTCCACCTGTGGCCACTCCCTTTCTTGTCTATTTGTGTCCCTTTGTCTCCTAGCCGGCCAGTATTGCTCTCTGCCTTATCCACTTGGTGTCTTTCTCCAAGTCCCATAACCCTGGTTTGTCTACCTCCGTAGTTCTATGTGGTGCCCCTTTCTCTTTCTCTTTTCTTTCTCCCCAACCCCTGATGTTCCTGCCATTGTCTGTGAGGAGTATAACCAGTGTACCTTCTACCTGGTTTACTGGGGGACCCTCCTTCCCTGTCTACCTGGTCAGGCGTGAGTCCTTCCTCCTGGTCCAGCTCTTTTGTTAGGGCCAAGATATTTATGGATGGTTCAGAGGAAAGTATTTCTTCCAGGAAGCGGGGGTGAATTATGCTCTCTGCCTGGGATGAGAAGGAAGAGAGTGTGAGTGACCTTGGGAGTAAATAGCCCCAAGTCAGGAAGACTTCTAGTAGAAACTGGAAGCAATGATGATCCCATTCTCGTTCCACCATGGGGATATTATAGCCCAACAACCTGCTACAAACATTTACAAGAGTGTGTGCGTGTGTGTGTGTGTGTGCATGCACATACACACACACAGATTCTGCTGAGCAACTGTGCTAGAAGCTCAGTTCCATGAGTTTTGCAACCTTGACTACACCAAGATGGTAGGCGTGGCCCACCTTGTTGACAAAGTCCTCATCAACGTAGCTCAGGAGACTTGGATCTGGGTATAAATCCTCTATTGGCTGATGCTCCAGTCCTTCCTCTCCCAAGATCTCAGCAAGCTCTTCTGTGGACAAGTGGGAGGGCTCCCATGTGGCCAAGCTGGTAGGCCCACATAGCTCATCCATGATGTCCATGTACTCTTGGATGGCTTCAGGTGGGATCTCCTCGGGCGCCTTGGTCTCAGGCCCGTTGGTCTTGGCCACCTTGCTCTTGCGTGCCTTGGTCTTGCGTGCCTTGGTCTCAGGCACCTTGGTCTCTGGTGCCTTCGGTTTGGCTGCTAATGAGCAGGCAGGCTGTAATTTGGGGCTGGTCTTTCTGCACCCTAGGACAGGGAGGACCAGAGTGGTGCATGAATGAGGGATCCATGTGCATCCCAAACACTGGGTAGTAGGCAGGGTTCAGCGGACCTAACTGGCATGCCATGCATGAGGCAACCTGACCAGGACCTGAGGGATAAAACAGTGCACCAGATGCACCATCTAGGAGAGTCTAGTGGGAGCACATTTAGAGTGACTGATATTCCATGTGCTCTACCCTCCAAGACCCAAGTCCTGGGCAGATGATATGTGTGTTCTCTGGACAGGCAAAAAGAGAAAGGAGCTGTGTACTTGTGCTGGTGAATACGCAGTTCAGGGCTGGGTGGCAGGGACCTCAGGGGCTAGGGGCTGTTCTGCTTACAAGACCAAATCCCCCACACTGAGGGAAAAGGTCTTATTTGAGACAACAACTTGCCTTAGCCCTTGTCACCATTCGGAGACTATCGTGGGCTCCTGTGGGAAAGAGGGAACCCTACCTGGCCGTTGGAAAGCCTCAAGGACTGGCGGCTTTGAAAGTTGCAGCATTGGAGGTACAGGAGGAGGTCGGCACTGGAAGACCCCTGACAACTGCATCCTTGGATCCTCCATCTCCTCCGCAGCCTCAAACTCCATGAACCTTGGTGGGTAAGGGAGGCACAGGCTGAGCTGAGAAGCAGGTCAGCCATACCAGGCAGGTGCTAGCCCCATACCAGGGAGGAGCTGGGGGCAGAGATATGGAGCTGTGTCCTGGAGTGGTTCAGGCCAGTCCCAGGAGGGAGCTGCTACATAGGAAGAGTGGCAGTTCTGAGGGAACACCACATCAGCCAGCACCTGAAGGGAATCAGCTGTGTGACGCGGCATAGCCCTAGGTGACCCTTGTTTCCCCTGTCCCTGCCAGGAACCACATGGATCAGGCAAGTTCCAGAAACTGGTCAGGGAAGTGATGTATATGAGGGTCCTGGCCCAATTAAGGGATGCTGAGGCTGGGACCTTGAGCCTTGAAGGATCACCTGGGAAAGAAAGGCATAGGAGGGGTCATGTGGAGGTGGAAGCTGAACTGAGAACATTGGGTTGCTTCCCCGGAGGGCCGGTTCTTTTTCTTCCTTTCTCTTGTTGGAATGCCAGGGATTTCATAGAGCAAAGGCAGTAAAGATGGCAGACCTGTCCTAGGGCATCTGAGGTTCTGGATGCCCCTGACCCTGCACTCTTCACTGCCACCCTCTTCTGGTACATTGGGTTAAAGGGGTGACCACTTTCATGAGATCCAGTAGTCCCCACTCTGTAAAGAGGTGCCAGTTCCCGGGCAGGTGGTGTGTGTGAGGCTAGTGGAACTCTTTACCTCTGCCCAGACAGCAAAGGAGAAGGAGTCAGTGTGGCTGGACTGGTTTTTCCTCCCCATTGGGACCCTGAACCTCAAGGCACAGTTGGAATCACGAACATTGAGGCTGGAGATTCTGGGATTGTTGCAGAGAGAATGTCCAGCGCTTCAGCTAGAAGGAGCTGCAATTTGGAGAGCTAGACGCCTCAGAGCCAACACATAGGTAGGTGACATGCCCTACCCGACCCTGCTGTGCAAACCCTGAATTCCCACCACTAAGTTCTGGGCCCTGGAATCTAGCTCACTTTTGTGAGGTCTCATAGAAGACCATCCGGTCAAAGTTGCTGGTGCGCTGCCATTCCTGCAAACCCTTCCGCAGGCCCTCTTCCATGGTCATGGTGGGCTCCCGTCGGGACAGAGACCGAAGCACTGGGCTGGAATTCATCAGGATCAGTGTCCACAAGGTCACCCTCCTTCATCAGCAGACCAACATACCTTCCTAACTTTGTTACATTTGACCCATCATGTTCACCTCAAAGTATTGACATTGGGACTCCAGGACACTTATACCAAACCTGAACACCAAGGGCTGCATTGAGCAGCATGATTGTGCTTGGATTCCTCAATGATGTGGTGTACTAGGTGCTGAATGTTTTTATCCTCCCGCATTCACCTGTTGAAGCCCTAACCCCCAGTGTGATGGTATCTGGAGACTGGCTTTAGTGCTTAGAGGGTTAGATGAGACCCTGAGGGTGGTGCTTCATGGGGGCATTAGTGGTCTTCCTGGAGAAGGAGGAGACACTGAAGAGATGTCAGTCATGTGAGGACGCAGGTGAGCCAGCTGTCTTCCCAGCAAGGAGAAGAGAGCGTTCATGGGACTTTAGGTCAGGTACCCTTTACCTGGGAATCCTGATTCCAGAACTGTGAGAAAGGAATACCTGCCTGTGTTTGTGTCCACGTGTTCCATAGTGTCCTGTATGGTGGCCCAGGCTGACTAAGACAGTGCACAGAATGGCCTGGGAGCACAGTTACAAACTGGGGCAAAGATGAACATGCCCATGCAGTATCCAAAGACAGCTTCCCCATGAGTGTGACATCACCAGAGGGTCCCAATCAGGAGTTCATGACAATGTGTGTGGGTATCCTTAGAGTTCTGTCTTGGGGCCAGCACCCCTAACCCCACTTGTGGTTGTGATGTCCTCTGTGCCAGGAACAATCAGCTCTATGGTGGAAGGTGAAATGACTGGGGGAGGGACCATTATGTGGAGTCAGACAGCCCACTCCAGTTCCTGGCCCACATTACCCCCAGGAACCTCCTCTGACCTTGAGTCCTCCATATGATGGAGATGATCATTGGAAACAAAGATTGCCTGCACTCACAGGGCTGTGATGGGCACCTGACATAAGGCACGTTTCATTCCCTGGTGTGAGGGGATACATCTGGGAATGTAAGGCTCTCAGCTTGTCCCCTCACCCTCAGGACCTTTCTTCCAGTTCCCCTACATCCCAGCCCCCTCTTTCCAACCCATGCTTTTCCTCCTCACAGAGCTCAAGGAGGAGCCTGAGGAGAACACTCACACAAGGAAGCAGGAAAGTGCTTCCACATCAGGAGTCTGAGGAAGGTGCCTGCGGACCAGGGTCTTGAAGCGCTGCCAGCGTCTGAAGTCCTCATAGACGCTGGGAGGTCCGCCGGAGTCATCTGGTGGCACCGCAGATGGGAAGATGGGTGGTGCACCTGCCCCATACCCTGTACCTGGCCACTGGCGTGCATCCATTGGGAACATGATGGGGGCCAGCTGGGCAAATGGCTGTGGTGCTGGAGGGCGAAGGCCCAGGTGCCAGTGGATCCCATAGTTCTGGATCCCCCCACTGGCTGAGGCAGGCACAGTGGTCCTCGGGGCAGAAGGTGCCGTGAGGAATGGAGCAGGATGCTCCACACCCCCACAGAAGGCCCCTGGGGCCCTGAAGTTGAGGGGTGCCTGAGTGTGGGCAATGTTCTGAATATGAGGAGGCCCTGCTGGCCTCAGTTGTGGCCCATGTTGTCCAAAGGTGGACAGCCCTGGCACATATGGTTGTCCAGGGTAAGTGGACAGCACCAGAGGGTTACTCTGGGAGATGGGTGCAGTCACCCGTGGTGCCAAGGGAAGCTCCCAGAATGGCTGGTGTGTTGGCACAGGGGCAGCTGGAAGAAAGGGCAGGCCCCGGAACGCAGACATGTGGGCACCAGGATTGACATTCATGTCTGGTCTCTGGGATGCAGATGCTGTGGAGGCAAAGCAAAGGGAAGAATGGAGGAGGGGAAATGGCAGCAGGATTGAGGTCCCCCAGTTTCTTACTTAGTGGGAATCTGAGGACAAATGCTCACAGCTCAGGGCCCTGTGGGCAGGCAAATTGTGCAGTTTGCAAATGTTCCTGAGTGAATTTCATGTTGTGTTCCCTTTGTCATAGTTCTACCCAAAGAAAACTGTTTCCCAGGACACCAGGACTCCCTGAAGGCTGTCAGTGGACTGTGGTCCCTCAGCTTTCCCTGCCTCTGAGAGGGCCCTTGTGCATCCTTTGCAGACAATCATTAGCCTCCTAAGTGACTCCCTAGAAATGGATCAATTTGACTCTCTCAGTGGCACCATGCCCCTCCTCATGCTCACCAACAGGAAAGGGATCTTCTCGAGGGCAGATGCAGGTACTCCAGGGTTATTTGTGAAGGTGACAGGCTCTAAAGTTTATTGCCCCATCACCTCCTCAGCCTTCCTTTTGCTAATACTCCTTGTATACCCCTCCACTTCTTTCCTAGGTCTCCACAAACAAACAAAAAACACCTGATTTAGATCTCTGCCTAGCTAGAGGCTGAGGAATCCTGAAGTTCACCCTGCCCAGCATGTGGGTGCTTCTCCTAGCACTTCCCACAGTAAACACTAATGGGGGAACAGAGTCTGGTCAGCCATGTCCCCAGTGTTCATTGGTCCCTGCCATGACATAGGAAGCTCTGTTCCCAGGGAAGAGGTCTTTGTGATAGACACTGAGTTCCCGAGATCCTCTCCTGCCCTGACCAGCAATGGCTGCTGAGGTTCATGGAAGGTGATGGGATTGTGAGCAGTGGGGCTTTCAAGAGATTTTCACAGCCACTGGTCATGTTATTACTGGGCCTGGGAATTGGGGCCATTCTGAGGTCCTTTTCCTTTTAGCTCCCAATCACAGAATGATGGTGTCACAGAGAACCAGGTCTGCACCAGCTGCCAGGTGTGGCCGGGTTGTCTGGAGCACATCTCTGTTCACTAGTGTAGTCAAGGAATGTGAGGTCCACCACACTTCCACACTTGCACATGTTGATCAGGACCCCTGCCTAACTTCAGGTGACAATATGAGTAGGGCCCCTTCCTAACTGGGTGCTATTCTCTTTCCTCTCTTGAAAAGAACCCAGTCATCTTCAAACCTGATCCTTGAAAAAAGGACACCTCACATGTGTTCATGGAGTACCAAACAAGGAAGATGAGAGAAGTCTTCCTGCCAACATGAAATAAAGGACTGAGGCTACCCCACAGAGAGGGGCCAACACCGAGAAGCTCTGAAAGAACTCCTCTTTCCATGAAAGTGATAACAATTCAGAAGACCTCACAGGGGCCCAAATCTATGTTGGTTGAAGTTTTCTGGGTTCCCTGACCTTTAGGAATCAAGAACACCAACTGTCTGAATGGAAGGAGAAGTTGGCGAGGCAACTTCTGGGCAGGAAGTTGGCGAGGTGCCCTGGGCTGTGGCAGTTGGAGTGCCCTGCAGCCTCACCCACAGAGTATATCACACTGCATTTGTGGTCATTGAGAACCCCACTGGGCAGTTTTCTAACTAATAACACTTCTCAACACTGCCCAGTTATCATCTGAGACTCTCAGTCAATCCCCTCAGAATGACATCCCAGGCAGCTTCCCTGTGTCTGAAGAATGGACACAGGGTTCAGCATCTGGACTCCAGGGAGCCGTAACTGACCACCACTGTGACACCATCTGTGACTGCCTAAAAAATCATGCCGTGATCTGTGTCCATTTTATAAGGAATCAATCCCTTGGCCTCTCTTCTTTCTGTTGAACCAGTATAATTCCCCTGAGTAGCCTGGACCTGGTCTTAGGAGCCCTCCTTCCCATTAGCAGTATCAGTCTTCCTGGGGCTTCCTGGGCCATGTCAAGTGCATTCTCTAAGGCTCTTTCCTTCCCTTACTTCTGCTCAGTGAGTTGCCCACAGGGGAAGTACTCCATTCTAACTCCCAAGGGTTTTGGGGGTGACTGGCCCTCAGATAACAAGCCCCTGACCCTCCAGGCTCACCTCCTTCCAAAGTTCAGGATACTGGTCACAGTGTCTCACAGTCTCCACAGTGGGAAACGTCAGTAGAGGACCCAGAGAGTGACCTGTCTGTAACAGATGCTCAGGGCCCAACTGAGCCAAGCTGGGACAAGTTTAAATGTAAACCCCAGTGGAATGTTGGACCCAGACATTCTGCAGGGGGGAGGGGCCAAGGGGAGCTGGCCTGGGTGGGGGCTGGGCAGACATTCCATGAAGAGCTCTGTCAGGTATAGAAGAACCTTGAGTTCCCTTCAGGCAATTCAGTGGTGACACAAGTGGTGTGTGCCTCTGGGTCATTTTGAAGTATTTTCTCAAATGTATGGCAGAGTGGTGAGAGCCATGGCTCTCATGAGCCACACAGTCACGGGTCTGAACAGCCCATACTCTAAACTGGAGGGTATGGATTGCATTTTATGTATAAATTGGTTTTTTTCATCCCATCCCCTGTCAGCAAAACAGACTCTTGGGTGTTCCTGAAATATTCCACACCTTATTATAAGTCCTTTCAATGAATGGGGGAGGGGGCAAACTAAGAAGAAGCTTCTTTCACTCTTTATGTAGTTATTCCCCACATTGATGTCAGTGATGAAATAGCTGGTGGGGCTTTATTTTTTTTAAACTAGTGATATAAAATATGCAGTGTAGAAAAACTGTCTTTCCATTCCACAATCAGTTTGTTTTTAGTAGTTTCTTATACTGAATGATGGAGTTCAGATTCTCAAAGCAAGCTTTATTTGTAGACCCAGGTCGAATTCAGGGGCCTTGAATACTCTTGGTCAGTGCTTTGCCACTGAGCTTCAGCATTACCCCATCAGTCTTGCACTGCTTCAAACTGCTCATATAATCACATACTCAAATGCAATTTTTGCAAAGTGGCCATGGGAAGGAGCATTGAAATGTCCTTTTGTCCTACCATCTGACCTTTACTCTTGTAAAGTCCTGAACTCATATTGATTGCTGAAGGGAAAAAAATTAAAAACACTGTGAACATGGATGTCCTTGTCATCAGGAACATTGGCGGAATGCTAAAGGCCCTGCCTCCTGTAATGCCTTTCCATCCTAGGACCTTGGCAGTGTCACATGTGACATACCTTCCACATTATCCTTTGGAAAGAAACGGTACTAATTATCTAAATTTCCAGAAAGAGAATCAAAGGATTGTTTTTGTTTGTTTGTTTTGGGGCAATGCATTTCAGGGTCAATGGGATCCTTGGTACACATTTGAAAAGTTCAGGCTAAAAGTATGCCATGGAGTAGAAAAGGAAGAGGATACATTTGGTGTGTGTGCAAATTGATCGACATTGCCGAGTCTTCATCAAACATATGGGAAAAACTGTCAAAGAGAACATTTGGGCATCTGTATATAGTGGGAGGGCTGTCAGTATGCAATAATGTGCTCAGTAGGCAAAATCAAGGAATGGGGTTTTCAGAGTGTTACCCAGACCTATAATTCTTGGAACCTACAGCTGGACTAGGAGGAGAGCACAAACTGATGTTCGTGGGAAGGGGGTATAAACACTGGGCCCAAATGGGGAGCCAGTGCTTCAGGGTAGAGAGCTTCCAAGGGGTGCACAGGGCGGTCTCTAAATTTATAACATGAAAATCACTTTGTCATTTCAGATGCTCTGGCTGAAAGAAGGGCCAGCCCAGAGGCTCTGGAGAGGAGCCGCAGACACCTGGCAGGCTTCCCGACCCACTTGGTGCTCCCGCAGCGGGTCCCTCCTGCACCCCTCGCGCATGCGCACGTGGTTGGCTGGAAGCGCGCGCTCCCAGGCTGCCCCAACTGCTCCAGCTTCCGTTGGGGCTCCAGCGGGGCAAGGCGCAGGCGCGAGCGCTGACGGCGGGTTCCCAACGGCCGGCAGGGCTCCCATGGCGGCGTCCAGACTCAGTCCCGTAGGCCCGAGGTACTGGACCCGCGAACCTCTCCCGTCCCCAGTGTGTCCCTGCCTGGTCCTCTGGCCCCTGCGCCTCGCCGGGCAGCCCGGGCGCCGGCCTCGCCTCCCCTGGGACGTGGGCCGCCCGCACCAGGCCTGGAAGTGAGGGGCGCGTCGGCCAGTGAGGCGCCTTGTCGAAGCGTCGTCTGTCCGTGTCCCTTGCAGCCTGTGCAGCGCCAGGCTCCAGGGCACCTGTGTGGTGCTTGAGAAGTGCGGTCCTGGTCAGCAGGTCCGTGGCTCCTGTTGGTGTCAGACGAAGTGGTGACGGTCATCTCCTGTTCCCTGTGAAAGCTGTGAATGTTGGGGACACCGTCAGCCGGCATCCGGGTTGTTAGGCTGAAGGACATTCATTTCCTGTGACGTTAGCGACTTTGCAGAAGGGAACACACTGAGCCCAGTGCGCTGAGTCCGCTGTGGTCACACCGTGATTGACGGCCGTCATAGGTGGGCTGTTGGTGGGCGCCTCTGGACAGAGCACCTAAATGATGACGGGAGAATCCTGTCACCCCAAGTCGTGTGCAATAAAGAGACTTGTGTTGTATTATTAACGTGTGGTGCTTGTGTATTGTGCAGTGACACTGATGATGTGCCCTCACGTGTGGTTGGTGGGCTGTTTGGGGGGCCCTTGTGGGTATTTCTGGGTGCCAGGAAGTTTTCCTTCCGTCTTGATGGGCATGAGGATCAAGGGGTGGTTGTTTGTGCAAGAAAATGAGTCGCTGCGCTGGTCCTTCTATGGTTGGTAGGAGTTCAGCGGGCATGAGGGTTTTCTCTGTTCCTTTGGTCAGGTGGTGGTGTCCCTAATGTGTTCCTATGTATTCAGAGTGTTGGGGTGGTTGTGTTTTCGACTGACCAATGACAATCTGCTGTGTATTCAGAAGTGGGGGTATTTGAGATTAAGGGAAAGTCATGACTTTTTGTGAGACTGTAGGGTTGGGTGTGTTTGGAGGCTGTGAAAAGTAATGAGCATAAACACTGGGAGTGGAGGTTAAGTGTTTGGAAATTGGGTTTTGTGATATTTCACCTGTCTTTTTTCTTTTGTTTGTTTGGCTCATGAATGCTGGGAAGTGTGCATGCACCATGGGAAGTTTGGAAATAAATATGTGTGTGCGTACATATGGGCAGTGTTAAGGACTGTGTTTGGGTATATTTCTCTGGGTTTGCAAAATGATTGATATAATTGGTAAATGTATGAGTATTTTTATATTCAGG